TTCCAGGCCTAGGGAACAGCATGCACAGAGACCTGAGACATGGTGTCTTCAGGAAATTGCTGGTAGTTTGAGTGTTGCTGGAAGTGAGAGGCAAGAGAGGTCAGAAGGGATAAGATCATGAAAGATCTTGTGAGCCAAGAGATGGAGAAGCCACTGGGAATGGTGAGACTGAATTGGCAGACTCAGAATGTTGGGAGTGGGAGGTACTGGGAGGTGAGGAAGAGAGGCCAGACCAGAGAGGGTACTATAGGAACTGGGGGCTGATCAGATGAGGAACATGAAAAGAGCAATCAAAATGATGCTCAGGCTGGTAATTAGGATGACCTGGTAGATAGAGGTGCCTTTCACAGAGATAGGGAAGCTACCGGGAGGACCAGATTAAGTGGGGACAGGGACATGGAGACAAGTTTAGTCTTATTTGGTTGAGTTTGAGATCCTTGTAAGCCATCTAAGTGGAGATGCTTTAGGAGCAACTGTATGTAGAAAACTGGAGGTAATTCTAAGTCATAAATATTGGTATGCTTGTCCTCAGCATATAGAAGGCTATAGAAACATAGAGTGAAGGAGATTGGTTTTAAAAAAGAAGAGAGCCCTAGCAGGTGTGGCTCAATTGGTTGGAGCATCATCCATGCATCAGAAAATCTCTGGTTCAATTCCCAGTCAGGACACATACCGAGATTGCAGGTTTGCCTTGGTTTGGGCACATATGGGAGGCAACCGATCAATGGTGTGTCTCTCTCATATCAATGTTTCTCTCTCTCCCCCGCATTTTAAAAAAAACAATAAAAAAAGAAAGAAGAAGAAGAGAGCCTGGGTGTAAGCTTGGAAGACACCAACTTTTAAAGGGTGGATAGGAAAAGAGGGGCCCAAGAACACGTGGCCAGAGACATAGGATGAAATTTAGGAAGAGATTTGAATCAGATCCAAGGGAAAAAGGGAGAATTTTTAAAAGTTGAATTGTTTCCAGACACCTGAGGGGCTGGCTATCCCAGAAAAAGAGCAAACAACTGTGTTTTCTGAGGCATCAGTGGGGAGGACTAAGACCAAAGGGTAGAAATTCCAGGGAAACAAAATCTGGGTCAATATAAGGAAGTCTTTTCTAGCAGCAGAATTAGGCATTCCCAAAGTTAAGCAGGGAACTCCCTGTCACCAGAAGTATACAGAGGCAAAGTATGCCAGGAGATTATAGAAAAAGTTCCCTGCCCAGCCAGTGTGGCTAAGTAGTTGAGCATTGACCTATGAACTAGGTCATGGTTTGATTCCAGGTCAGGGCACCTGCCTGGGTTGTGGGCTCGATCCCCAATAGGGGCTGTGCAGGAGGCAGCTGATAAAAGATTCTCATCATTGCTATTTCTCTCTCTTTCCCTCTCTTCTTCTCTGAAATCAATAAAAATATTTTTTAAAATATATTTTATTGATTTTTTTACAGAGAAAGGAAGGGAGAAAGATAGTTAGAAATATCGATGAGAGAGAAACATCGATCAGCTGCCTCCTGCACACCCCCTACTGGGGATGTGCCCGCAACCAAGGTACATGCCTATGACCGGAATCGAACCTGGGACCCTTCAGTCCACAGGCTGATGCTCTGTCCACTGAGCCAAACCGGTCAGGGCAATAAAAATATTTTTTTAAGCAAAAAGAGTTCCCTGACCTGCGTAGAAAATGGGACTGATTAGCCTCTGAGAATTTTCCTCCTCAGTCTCTCGGGAACATTTTCCCAGTGTCTACATACAACTACATAGTGACTTATCTCTCTATAATAATACCAGTAAAAGCGTAATATGCTAATTAGACTGGCTATCGTTCCAGACAACCTTCCAGATGAAGCCAGAGCTGCAAGGGAAGCCCGGGACCCAGGTGCCTGCGGCGGCTGGAGGGAAGCCTGTGCCGGCAGCCAGGGGAAGGAAGGCCTACTCTTGCACGACTTTCATGCATCAGGCCTCTAGTATATATACAAAAGACTAAGTGACCGTTATGACCGATCGACCCAAACAACTGTTCGACCAGTCGATATGATGCACACTGACCACCAGGGGGCAGACGCTCAACACAGGAGGTGTGCCCTGGTAGTCAGTGCACTCCCACAGCCAACCTCCCAGGGTCTCTCCTGTGGGCAGCCGGCCCCCCAATAGGCCTTGATCACCGGCCAGGCCGAGGGACCCCACCCATGCATGAATTCTTGCACCGGGCCTCTAGTTTTATTATAAGAGCCCTCCTCACTTTCTTATCAATGGACAGAGGACCTCAAAGATCACTAGAATGCAAGCTCTATGGTGTGGTAAGAGGGTGGTAGGAGTGACTTTGGGTGGGGATGACTTGGGCTGAGAACTATATGCTGAGAAGGACTCATCCCGGTGGGAAACTTAGGGAATTCTATGCTCTTCAGAAGGCATAGCAAATGCCAAAACTAAGAACAAAGACAGAGCTAGGAGAATTGAACAAATAGGAAGAAGGCCAGTATAGCTGGACCAAGTAATCAAGGGAGAAGGGAGTGGGAGGAGACGAGGAAGGAGAGGGGAGCAGGGCCACAAGGATAGTTTTATGGGACATTGTTAGAAGGGAGGTGTTTATTCTAAGAGCACTGAAAAGCTGTTACTAAAGCCATTGGAGGAATTCAGATGGGGGAGTGACTCTTCTGTTGTAGACCATAGATTTGGGGGTCTAGGAAGGGCACAAGTGGAAGTAGTGAGAGCAGTGAGGAGCATATTTTAAATGTGTCCCCATGGTCTGCAAGGTAAAGTTTAAACCCTTTTGCCTGGCATTAGAGAGGACTCCAACTTTATTCTCATTAACCTCCTCCTTCACACACAATGTGCTTCCAACTTGTGAAAATGTTGAGTAACCCTGAAATCCCCAAATCCCAACCCACTCCCTGCAATGTTGCCCACATCCGTCCCTCCACCCCTTAAAACCAGACTCATTCTCAAAGGTGCATGTCTGTGCCCCCTCCATGATGGATCTCTCCTTCTGTGCTTCTCCCCTGGCTGAGAGTATCTCATTATCCCTCTGGCTACCCTACCTTGTTCGGTGCCAGTGTACTGTAGTTGGGCACCCAGCCTTGTTTGGATCTGCACCAGGCCAGTGCCACGCCCTGGGTGATTCTCAGTCAAAGCTGATTTGACGAATGACTGAATTCTCAGGAGTACTCAGCATCTTGTCCTCAAAGACATGATAAGTGGGTTGTTGAGAAGCACTCATTTATGTCCACATTGATGGGCATTCATTGTTTTCTGATGACAAAAGGAACACATGGGCATGTAAAGAGACTTCAACAAATGTGTTGCATGTTCATTTTGTGTCAGACTGGACACTGGGAACACATGGGAACTAAGACACAGTCCTTGTCACTGAGAAACTCACAGGCTGTTGGGAAGGAAGAACTCAGAACGCATCTTTATCCAGAAAAAAAATGGTCAATGCAATGATGGGGCTAAGCATGGGGCTGTGGCAAACTAGAGGGGACACGAGGAAGGGATTGGAAAGGCTTCAGGGGATGACGATGCCTTAGCTGACTCTGGAAGGGTCAGTACAAAACAATCAAGTGAAACAGGGACACGAGAAGAGCATTCCAGAGGGAGGAAACAGCATGGTTTTGGGGGGAGTAGGAAGGGGTACCTGAGGAACCACAGTCAGATACAGTTTGAATATAAATACATGGTGAGGCAGAAGGAACAAGTGAAGGAGAAATTAGAGAGGCTGGTAGGGCTGGGTTGGGCTGGGTTGGACAAGGTGGGGTCAGGTTTAAAAGATTGAACTTTATTCTGGAAGCTAGTTGGCAGTAATGGAAGGGCTGTAAGCAGAAGAGTTTTGGTTTTAGAAGAAAAATTATAGTGACAATGTTTTTAATAATGCTATATCTCTTCTGAATTTTAGAACACTCCCATATGCATTTGATCTTCAAAACAGCTTTGTGAGGTACCTAGAGCAGAGTTTATATCATTTTAGGCATAAAAAAAAAGGAAACTTGGCAGAAATCAGTGACCGCCTTGGGATAATGGCTAAGAGCACAGCTCCAGGGCCAGGCAAACCAGAGTTCATGTCCTACCTCTGCTACTTATCATCTGTGTGACCTTGGGCCTCTCTGGGCCTTAGTGTCCTTATCTGTAAAATGAGTATAGAACCAACCTGTTAGTCTGTCCATTTGTCATTCACTCATTCACCAAATACTTACTGAGCTCCCACTTGGCACTGTGTAGGTGCTGGGCTTGAGAGGTGAGGGAGCAGGAGAGATGAGGTCCCAGTTCACAATCTATTAAAACAACAATGACATCAACCAGTTGGACCAGGAGAGTCAAACACAAAGGTCTGCCTGAACAAGACACATGAAAAAGAATTGATCTGCGTGTGAGACAACAGGGAATGGTGGAGACCATGGCAAGCTGGAGAGGGCATGCCCCAGCCTAAAGTAACTCAAATCGGAAAGTTTTAAAGAATGTCAAATAAAAGAAGACCCCAAGCTCATGAAGCATGAGGGCTGCCAGTGCAACCCTTCATTTACATACTTGTGATAAGTGGTCCCGAAGGAAAAGTATGGGTTGTGTTATGCAGAGATAACATGAGGATATACAAGAGCCTGGGAGCCGGAGAGGTAACATTTGGTCTGAGATCTGGAGGATGGAGGAGGAGTGAAGAGGGGATGGATGGGGGAAGGAGAATTCCTGACAAAGGGAACAACCCTTGGGCAGGAAGAGGCTTAGATCATTCAGGGATCATTCATAGAAGCCAAGGTCTCTGAGACATAGTAAGGAAAGCTGAGCAAGTAATGAGGCAGGAAAGGTTGGCAGAGAAGGGTCATGGGACCTTACTTTGGAAAGTCGTGGAAAGGTATCAAAATGGCCGAAGGGTGCGTACATAAAAAAATAACAGCACGCTACTTTGAACAAAGCAACTCCAAAATGGACTGATTCCAAACATCTCCACCACTCAGTAGGTAGGTATCATCCCCAGTTTACACACAAAGAAACTGAGACACGGAGAGGCTAAGGAACTTGCCCAAGACCATGCTGTCAGAAGTGGCAGGGCCAGGACCCAGACTGGAGCATTCTGGCTTCGAGGCCTCTGCTCTTAACAGCACTATGCTGCTTTGGATGACCAGAGCAGGTAAGAATGGCATTTGAAAAAGATCGTTCTGATTGCCCACTAGGAGTACTGGGGAGTGGAGTAAGAGTAGAATCTGAGCCCTAGCCGGTTTGGTTCAATGGATAGAGCGTCGGCCTATGGACCAAAGGGTCCCAGGTTTGATTCCGGTCAAGGGCACCTACCTTGGTGGCAGGCTGCCCATGCCATCCCTCTCCCCGCCTGGGCTCTGGTTGGGGCTCGTGCAGGAGGCAACCACCCCGCGCCATCCCTCTCCCCGCCCGGGCTCTGGTTGGGGCTCGTGCAGGAGGCAACCAACCAATGTGTTTCTCCCATATCAATGTTTCTCTCTGTCTTTCCCTCTCTCTTCCACTCGCCCTAAAAATCAATGGAAAATATCCTTGGGTGAGGATTAACAACAACAACAACAAAAGAGTAGAATCTGATGAGACAATTAAATAAGAGAAAGCTCACAAAGCCCTTAGCATAGTGCCTGCATTGGGAGTCACAGGTAATTGTCTTCATCATTATAGGAAGATGATGATAAAGCTGGGCATGGAAACCAGGTGCCCCGGGGCCCAGCCTGGTGCTAAAGAGTTTTTCCTTCCTGACTCCTTTAGTCCTCTTCCTGAAAGAAACTCACGTTTTAACGATCTTCCCCCAAGGATTCTGCCAGCCTCAGACCTCGGCTAGTGATGAAGATGCCAGCAGGGGTCCCGTCTTCAACCCTGAACTGGTCATTGCCCACTGCTTCAAGCAGTTCAAGCAGAAGGACTTCCACCTGCCTCGAAGCCGCCGGCGGATCATCATCTTGCCTCGAGAGGAAGATGCGACCTCCATCCTCAATCCAACACCACAGCCCCAGGCTCCCTCACAAATCATCCCCAGCTTCAAAGCCCTGGAAGCCAGGGACGTCCAAGAGCCCCCGGAGGATGTGAGAACCTGGATGAGCCAGAGGTTGAAATTTCGGCAGGAACTAGAGTCATGTGTCAACATAGACAGGTGGCTGCAGAACAAGTCCAGCCTCACGCCTTCAGAGGCCAAGATCTTACGCATGACCCACAAGGAGCACGCTGTGGACCCGCTGATGACCCACTTGATTCCTCCCAGCCCCACCAAGGTGAGCAGCCCCATTTGCCAGATGAGGGGATGAGGGGCAGGATGGGGATCATTCACCCCATTTCACAGAGCAGCAAACAGAAGTCCTTAAACAGAGGTGCATTAGTTATCTATTGCTGGGTAACAAATACCCCAAAATGACTTAAAGCAGCAAGGGCTTATTTTCTCACTCTTTCTGCAAGTCAGGAATCTGGGAGGAGCTGAGCTTGGTGGCTCTCGCTCAGAGTCTTTTCATCTCAAGATGTTGGTGGGGGCCACAAACATCTGAAGCTTGACTAGGGTGGGAGGATTCGCTTCGAAGCAGTTTGCTCACATGGCTGTTGGCAGGACACCTCAGTTCCTAGCCACATGGACCTCTCCATAGGGCTGCCTGAGTGTCCTCACCACATGGCAGCGGTGAATGTTCCAAGAGAAAACAAGGAGGAGGGTGCAGTGCCTTCTAGAACCTGTCTCAGGAGGTCTCAGTTTCAGCAGCTTCGCACTGTTACCTCTCTGTTTGTCAGAAGCAAGTCACTAAGTATTGCCTCCACTGAGGGGAGGGGAATTAGTCTCCATCTCAGAGGGGAGGAGAGTTGAAGGATTTGGGGCTATATTTAAAAACCACCCCAGGAGAGAGAATGACTTTACAGTTTGCTACAGGCCGTGAATAGATGTGGGTCTCACCCCTCCTGGAGCACAGAGGAGCTGTAAGCTAGGGAACAGGAAGGCCCTTTGTAAACTGTCAGGTGCTGCAGCAAGGTAAGGCAGTGTTATTTCTAAATGTTCCCATTCACCTGGAATTGGAGGAGGAGGAGGATTTGGACAGGGAGAGAAAGAAGGAAAGGCATTTACTTAGGCAGAAGGCCCAGCTGGAGCAAAGGCCGGAGGTAGGAGATCTGGCTCCAAGCAGAAGCACGTATTTTGGTGCACTGAGAGCCCCGGGGGATTATAATACTGACTGGTCTGACCAGAGAGATGTGGATAAGAATAAAATTCTAGCTCTCATATTGTCCAAGCCTCTTGTTTCTGATGGGAAATTGAGGCCCAGCAAAGCAAAGTCTCCCAGGAGTTCTGTGGCAGAATGCAGTTGTCCTGCGGTTGCCTGAATCCAGTGTTCTATGCACTTCATCTTGCTGTCTGTTCAGAGCTGCTCAGCCTCTCCCTCTCCCATTTCTCCCTAACTCCGGGGATCATGTTTCATTGGCCTGTCTCCCCTGAACTCTCCCTTCTGTCCCACTTGCTTTCCTCGTTCAGAAGAAAATCGTCCGACCGTTCCACCAACCGATACCCCAGCTCCGACTGCCCAAGCCCTCTGCCCTGTTTGTCTTGTACTCCTACCTGCGCAGCCACAATATGAAGATCCTGGATATATTTGCCAGGGTGGAACAGGGCAATAACCAGGCGATCTCCAGGGAGCTGTTCATTATGGCTCTGAAGGTGGTAAGTACCTCCCGTGCTCCCTCTAGGCTGGCCTAAGTGGGGAGGGTGTCCATGCTGCCCTCCCCTGACCCTGGACCAAGTGAAAAGCAAACTCGGGAAACTCAAACTATCAGTCTTATCACTTGTAAAGCCAGGTGGGAAAATGCGGTTTAACCTGCAGCCACATCAAACCCCTAAAACCACCCTGCACTGGTCTGACCTTGAAAGTCTGAGAGGAAAGTCTGCAGAGCTGGCCCCATAATCAGCCAGCTGCCCATCCTTGCCCTGAATTGAGCACTGAGATTGCTGGGCCTTCAGTCCTGCCTCTAGAACCTTCTAGAGCTTTTCCAACTGTCACTGGCATATGAATCACATAGAATCACATAGTCTTATGAAAATGCAGCTTCTATTTGACCCAGTGATCCCACTTCTAGGACTATATCCCAAGAAACCAGAAACACCAATCAGAAAGGATATATGCACCCCTATGTTCATAGCAGCACAATTCACCATAGCTAAGATTTGGAAACAGCCTAAGTGCCCAACAGCAGATGAGTGGATTAAAA